TGTTTTGGTCGGTGGTTTACTTTTTTTCTTCGTCCGCCTGCTTGGCCTGGCTGGTGCTATTCCCCCACCTCATGTTACCTCCAGGGATGCTGGAGAGACGCGGTCGCACTCCTCCCGGGACCGCAGGCTGTGCCACTGCTCCACGGCCGTCCGGTGAGCGTTGAGCATCCGGCGCCAGTGGTTGGATTCAGGGGCGCCTGTCGAGTACTGCCCGATCACAATCCTCCCAATGAAGTCGTTGCTGCTCTTCACGTTGTGCCCGTACACTGGGGAGAGCAGAAACAGAGACTGGTCACGGCCAAAGCATCACTCGTCCACCCAGAGCCTTGCCAGGGAGAGCCGAACATCCCGGCAATGCCCCTGGCGCAGCACACAGATGCCAGCGGTTTTGGCATGTCAGTCAGCACTGCAAAAATGCCACAGACCGAATCAGAAGTTTGTAAGGAATCACATAAGCTGTATTACATATTGTAATATAATTCAAATAAACAGGAAATACAATTCAAATAAACAGTATTTAGCAAGAACAGGTGAAGTAGAATCACAGAAAAGTTTGGGTCGGAAGGGACCTTAAAGATCATCCAGTTCCAACCCCCTGCCATGGGCAGGGACCCCTCCCACTAGCCCAGGTTGCCCAAAGCCTCATCCAGCCTGGCCTGGAGGCAGAATTACATTGTGTAAAGAAACACTGAAAGCTCTGCCTGGGCATCATGACATGATGGAAGCAGCCGAGCAGCCCACACCTGGGTGAATGAACAAGGAGCATCTCAACCCGTCCTCCTCCAAACGCAAACACTCCGGCACTGCTCTGGTGCTCGTCAATAGCCTTCCCGACACAGAGACGGGAATCACAACGTACAGGCTGTCAGCGGGATGTTTATACAGAAACAATTTGCCGTAATTATTGCTGCAGCAACTTGGTCCAGGAAAGCAACCGAGGGAGAGCTGTCAACCCAACACCCCATCCTCTGGATTAGCCCTGTCTCCTGGAACAAAAGACTGCAGCCAGCAGCAAACTCTAATGATGGGCCTGATCCCCAGAAAGGCTGCACGCTGCTGCCGGACAGGAGCAAAAGCCCTTCGTCTTCTGCAAATTGAAGCCCTGCCTCAGCTCATTAGAAAGTTGAACAAAAAGTCTGTGCAAGCTGGAGCCAGAATAGCCACGAGCACTGGCTGGAATGCTAAAGATTTAAAAACCTCCTCAGGAAAGAGTAGGATTTTTAAGAACAAATGTCTGCAGGAGCTCCAAGTCCACCCAGGCTTGTGCAGCAAGGGCAAGTTCAAAGGGGGAGCTCAGCCCAGCCCAGAGCCGTGAGCCCAGCATGGAGCTGACTGCGGCCGACCTGGCCTTGCCAGCATCACCAGCTCACCAGGGCTGCTGGAAACCATGACTGGCAGCAAAACCACTGGGGATCCCCAACAGCAGCACCCCCCGACGCAGTGCACAGCCTTCCAGGCAGGCAGGACACCGAGCATGAAGCACCCGACCTCGCTTTTAGCCATGCATCTTTGTCAAGGCTGGGTACTTCCTATTATAATATATCCTGTGACTAATTAGCATTATTTTAATGTGCTACTCAGTATCTCTTCCATCTCCCCACTCGGCAAAGGCTGGTTGTTAGGTACTGCACCAGTACGGGATCTTGCTCTGGGTAACCCAGGTGCCACCTCCCAGCCCAGTCCCACAATAAAGCCGCACAAGGTTACATCTCGCTTTATACCTTCTGACAGCTCTGACACACAGTTTATGGACAGAGATGCTTCTCCACATCAAATTACCTGGGGATATTTTTGGTAACAGCAAACCTTCAAACATCCCAATCATTTCTCCAAATAATTGCACACATCAAAAAAAATTACACAGGAACTCAGAGCACTGTAAGTCTATCTTGAAACTACAGCTAAAAATTAATTGGGGGTACAACTTCCCCTTAGGAACACCGCAGCTCTGCTACTTGTCACCATCAGTTACCCAGGGACGATGCCATCAGCTCACTGCAACATGCTGCCAAGGAAGTGCCCCTGTCAAGAGTCCAGGCTGCTGTTATTTGGAAAGGCCACCTTTAGTGGTGAAGAATTTTAAGCCATCCATCTCCAACTAGTACCCAGCCTGCCAGAGTTACGAACGAGTTCTCCTACAAGGCAATGGATCACAAGTGTAGCTAGCATGGCTATGCTGCATGTCCTGTTATGATTTATTATCCTAGACAAAACAAATATTGTGATAAAATCACACAAAAGTACCCCCAAACCAAATGCCTCCCTAATTTTTTATACAGGATATTTTTTTCCATTCTTTTTTTCAAGAATGAAAGAAGACGAAGCCTAATCCTGTGAGACAACGCCAAGTAATTTAAAGCAAGTAGTCTTAAAGGCCATCAATTAATCACAGGATAAATTAACAGTGGGGAAGTACCCCAGGCATAGCAATTCTTCAAAAATAATCTATGTCAGGATTGTAAAATGCGTAGGTGTGCTAACTAAGGAGATCTGTTATTACTGTTGATCTGAGTGTTTTGAATTCTTATAAAGCATCTTGCTAATCTCATCGTGCTGGGTAATTAGCATGTTGATTCCTTTAGGGTATTAATGGGCTAATTATATGAGCATTGTTGCTTCTATCATTAACTAGTTTAGATGGCACAGAGGTAGACTCATTGCTGAAGAACAGGAAAACATTTTCCAAGGCCAAACGCTTATTCACACACAGACGGTAAGAGGCGGCACTAGATTCGACCTCAGGTTTACAAACTCACAGCTCCACCACAGCAGCTTTCTCAAAAGATGAGAGAACTTTTTGTGCCAAAAATTCAGCTTCACTCATCAGCTCATGAGCCTTTAAAATTCAAGGACATGCTTTTCTCAGAGGCTAATTGCTTTATTCCACTCTTAACATGGCCAGTATTTGCTGAGCAAATGTGTTAACGGCTGAGGTGCGCAGAGCTGGAGCCTGGACCTTGCCCAGGAGAAGGTGCTGAAGTTGGTGACAACGTGCCCTTGTCTTTGCTCATATTCAGGAGCATCATTTTCCCTGTTGCTAATTCCTGACCATCTTTGTGGTCAGAGAAGCTCGGGCTCTTTCTTTTCAGCTTCTTCCACAACAGGTGGAGAAGCCCCTGTGGTCCAGCCCATGGACTTGGGCGCTGCATCACGTTCTGAGCCCAGGTTACAGCACAAGCAGACCAAGCTGCGTTCCCTGATGGCTGAGTATCCCCTTCCAGAGTCCAAAATAAGTTCAGAGCAGATTTCAGATTAAAACCACTGCCACAAAAACCAGTAACTCCACGGAGCTGCTCAGAAACAGAAAATGAGGTAATTTTCATTTGGGGTTTTCAGACTGACCCAGACTCTGGTTATGGACAGGTAGACACTGCTTTCCATTTAAGAAACCTATTTTCCTTACAGAAAGTACACACCTGATCTCCTGAGCTCTTTTTCCACTGTGGCAGTAATTTACACAATAGCAACATCCATTTCCAGGCCAACACAGAGCAAAAAGCAATTAAGGAAGCAGAGGTCAAACTAATTCCTTCTGCAGCTGCTCTTTACCAAGGGGTGCATTTGGAAACAGAAAGGCTTCTTTAAAAAAAAAAAAAATCTCTTTATAATAGAAATGCTGAAATGTAAAAGAAAATTGGGTTCACCTATGTCCATTGAAAGGGTTGAATTCTTGAGGACAAGCAATGTGATGTAAATAAAACATTTGTATGTTATATACTTATTGATGTGGTGCTCCTAAATGATCCATATCAAACTGACAGGGGCTTGGGTGCTACATGAAACTTGTGCCCAGCGTTGCATCCCAGGGGCAGCAGGGTCTGCCAGGAGATGGGATGAGACTTGGAGCTCCACCATTTGGCTCCAGGTGTGACACCAGCCGTAGCTTTCCCTTGTCTCCTACCAACCTTGGTCATGCAGAATTGCTTTTCACTGTCTGACAGTATTTCTTGTCACTACATAATCTGGCACTTGGCTCTGGCCCATCAGCCCAGGCGCCAGATCCAGCCACAACGCCCTTTACGCTCCCCTTGGTCTCTACACTGAGACTTGCACACCGGGTACTTGTGAAGAGCGTGACTGCAAAGCAATCGTGATGTACGACTTACCTGCAATAGCAGAATTCAAGCTGGCACTTCAAATACTAAATCATCCTTTGACTGAACACATTAGCAGCCCTGATATGACCAGGAAGGAGCACCAATTCAGAAAATTTGCTTAAGCTGACTTCAAGGCTATCAGTAATACTCATGTGACAGGGGACAAGCTTTATGCAGAAGCACCTCACTCAGCTGGGGGCACAAGCCATCTGCACCCCCTGTAACCCCCTGCCAGAGGTGCCCAGCAGTTACTCAGCAGTTACAGCCGCGTTGCACTGCTGAGCACGGCCGCACAGCACCCCTGCTGCTGCCTGCAGCTGCCAGGGCACCTCCCGCAGCCTCCCGAGCCATGGCCAGAGAGATCTCAGCCACTGGAGCGGGTGGGCTCTGGCACAAATAGTTTAACTCTTCTTCAGTCACCTTTATCAGTTGCCTGCAATGCAATTAAAACCATTTAACTCAGAGAGAAGAAAAACAACAATTTTTTTTTTCTGTTTTTCATCTGCCTTTTCACTCAGGCCAGACATCAAACAGAACATCTTCACCCGGTTTACACTAGTTTGCCATTAGCTTATTTACAGCACGCCACCACCCACTCTCTAACAAATTGCCCCCAAACTTGTTTATTTTTTTTAATGCAATTTGGTTGCATCTTGCATATTTTAAGAGGCCGTAAATAATTGAGCACCCCTCGGTGTGGCTCACATGCACCCCTCCAGCACAACACCCAGCCAGCGCGATGACAGAGCCAGCACGCTGTGGCCGGGGCATTTCCCAGCACAGTGGCCACAGCCCATGGAAGAAACCCCCAAGGAACCAGAGGGCCCTGCCCTTTCCTTTCCACTACAGGATAAAGCTACTCAATCTAAACACTAGAGAGTGAAAATCCAGCTTAATTTTTATAGCTGGCCTAGAGGACGATACTGGGTGTCTGGGTCAATCATCAGGCAGGAAAGTCATTGGAAAAAAAAATCCTACCTGCTATTATATACCTGCAATCGCTGTTGCCACAGCCTGTAGAAGTTTGATCTGATACCCTAGGCCCACAGGCTAGGAACTGAATAACTACCTACATGGTGAGTGGTGTTACCCCGCAGCCAGAGACGCGCCTGCACCCCTGCAGCCGTGCCTGCTGCCGGCCAGTGCCGTGCTGCGAGCTCCAAACCCGC